CCTTCTCTTCATCCATCTTCTCTTGCTAAGAAATAGCAATCTTTTCACCCTCTAAAATAGCCATGGAGTATGTGACTCGACGAAAAGTGAAAATGAATCCCGTACAAGGATCCAGGCTCAAAATGAGGCACCTTGCAATAACTTTCATTAATTGCACAATAGCCCTACAAAAAGTGATAACTGCAAAACTGACCCAGAATGAAAATATCTTTCAAAAGATATTTTCATTCTGGGCCAGTTTTGCAGTTATCTTTCGAAAGATATTTTCATAAAAACCCCTAAAATAAAATATCTTCGAAAGATATTTATGAAAAATACCCCAAGAAAGTAGAATGTTTCTGGTTGACTTCATTCATGGAGCTTTCTATGTCAAAACCACATCTTTCATACATTTGCAAAAGGCACTCCTCAAGAGGGTTCTTTGAGAGAATAGAGGAAAGGTCCTCTTCAAATTTTTTCTCCTCCACCTCTATAGTGGTCAACATCTCCTCACTCTCAAAAGTAGTAATGGTCGGAATTAAATCATGATCAAAATAAGGAAAATCCTCATAAGTCATGTTATGCTCTATCGGATTAGCCATTAGTGGAATCATCAACTCCTCAAACTGCTTATTTGTTACTTCTTCCTAACTCTCCTCATCCTCATCTATATAAATTGAAGTTCTTGCTATTTTTTCATTTGCCTCTTCCACCTCCTCTTGATTAGAAAGAGTACTTACAATTTGCTCAACTTGAGCTTCTAATTTGGCTAACGTTTGAGAATGAGAATTAATAAGTGGATTTTATGAAATATGAACATCAAGTAAAGCTAACAATTTTTCTTCAAATCCGGGTGAGTACCTAGAAGATGCTGGCGTTGGTTCATCATAAAATGGCGGGGGAGGGTAACAGTCACAAGGAGAATAATGAGAATAGGCAAGTCCATAATAAGATGATGCATACTGAAATGAAATGGACTCAACCTCATAAGGATCAAAATATGATGGAGGGGCATAAGGTGAAGGGATGTAATTTCCCTCCAAACTTGGATCAAACATTAAAGCAATGAAATTAGCCTCAACAAGGGCTATCACAAGCATGCAAAAAAGTGTATAATTAAAATACAAGAGTTCCAAGAATTGCTCACAAAGGTTCTTAAGCAACTTTAAATTCCAATGTTAGCTTTAAGCTCTAATTATTGTTTTAAGTTCCAAAGTTTGTCTTTCTTGTAATCAAGTACCTAATTGACAAATAATATCAAGAATTAGAAATGAATATACAATGGAAAATAAAATAAAAATAGAAGCAATCAAGAAAACACTATTGTCTAGTCTAATTCCAACAAAACCGTTAATCCCCGGCAATGACGCCAAAATTTAACGAGTCTCGCCCATTCCTCTAAGTGATTAAGAAAATAGACTTTTTAATGCGAGAGGTCGCTTCTCAAGGTCAAAATATGAATGTGGTTTCGGAAGCCTTTCTAGTCAAATTTACATTTATAAAAACCACTAATACAACTAATGAAGTATAGCGAGTAGGAATCGTCCGCAGGGATTATACGTGTTGGAATTTTACTTCAACTCTAGCGTATCAAAAGATTGCAAAGGAGGGTTCATTGGTTGATTACTCTAGAAAATAATTAATTAAAATGTAATTAAAGTAAACTAGTGAGAGATAGGGATTGAAGAGATATGAAGAGAGGTCTAAGGGTGTTGGAATCACCACTAAGCTCATGTAATTAACCACTTCCTTTCCATTAATGGGGAATACATTCTTACAATCTAGATGTGGCCACATATATAAACACAATTTGCATGTAAAAGTGTGAACTATCTAATGCAAGAGTGAATTGTCTACCCATCCAACAAGTAAACTAAGTGTAGAACAACCCACCAAGACAAAGGCATAATCCATCAATCAGTTAACAAATGGGTCTAATGATAGCACACATCAATATAGAGAATCATGGAATTTGCAACAATAAGTGTGGAGTATCAAATCAAGAATAGATTGTCTACCTACCTACAAACATGAATTAAATTATAGAATAACCCATCAAGTATAAGTATAATCCATTAAATTAATTGACAAACCCATTAAATGAAAACCCATGCTTACCCATCACTGAATCTTTAATTAATCACATATAGACATGTTGCCAACATAGAGAATCTAGTACAGAGATCAATTCCTAAATAATCACACATAAGACAACATATAATTAAAATAGAGAATCATAAGGAAGAATTAAATCAATAATCACAAAGCTAAGCACTAATCACAACAATATATATATAAATACCCAAAAATGGAAATATAAGGGTTTAAATTACATAAGACTTAGGGCTCATCCAAGCCCTAAGTGTAGATCTAGCCAATCATGGAGGAGGTGGATGTGGTTATGAAACCCTCAAGGGTAAGCTCCAAACATGGCTCCATCTTCATCTTCTTCTTTTTTGAAGCTCTAGAGAGAGAGAGTATAAGAATCTAGAGATGTGTTCTTGAGATGTGCCTCCACTTCCCTCTTTCTTCTAGCCCTAATCTCTAACTTTCTAGAGAGAGAAACTAATGAAAATATAGAAATTACAATGTAAAAAAAATGAATATCCTTACAAAAATGGTTCAATCTCTCATATATACAAGGCTTTTAGAGCCAAAAATGTGAGAACTCAGCCCTAGGATCTCCTCTTTCAAGCACAGCCCGAGTTGGTTCGAAATGAGCTTTAGATCTGTTTTTTTGTAACTTCTGCAAATAGTTCGATCGATCTCAGGGTTGGTTCGATCAATCTGGGTTCGATCAATCCAACTTTTCTTCGATCGATCCAACTTTTCTTCGATCGATCCAACTTAGTAGTTTTCAGCATCAGCCTCCTTTTTGCTCTAGATCAGCCTCCTTTTGCTCCAGATTCTCACTAAGACTTAGTTTAACTCCCAAAAGTCTTTAATGGATCAAAATTAGCCCATTTTAATATTATTGATCTGAAATAGACAAAAACATGAAATTAGACTAAAACGGGAAAATAAGATAGAAGAATGGACTAAAATACCTTCACTTAGGTGCTAAAATACATCACATTTGAGCACTCATCAGACATGAATCTGATCAAAGATTTTTCATTGAATCTGTTGCATAAAACAATGATTAAATTTGTAAATAGTTTAATTAAGCATTGCAAAAGAAGAATAAGTTGCTGGAACTTAGTTTCTTCGAATGAAATTCGCCATTTGGAAGAAAGATTTGAAGATAATAAAATGACATTAAGTCATTTGATGAATTTTTGATTCATGCTATTTTGTGGGTGGTGCTTGACAAATTGGAATGAATTACAATACTTCTATTTATAGAAGTCTTAATCAACTTATTCCCTAACTTTTTGCTAGAAAATATCTTTTTCTCCTTAATTTTCTTCTCTTTCAATTTAAACTAAGTTAACACTTGTAGCATATTTGAATTTCTGCATGTTATGTTGGAGCTTCCCTTTTAACCAAACTCCAGCCCTTCTTTCTTCCTATAAAAAAGGAATTTAGTTGTAGCCTTTCAACCAAACTCTAGCCCTTCTTCCTTTATGTCAGTAGCCCAATTTGAAATAGTTAACCATTAGTTGCTAAAATTTAGCAACTTCCTTGTAAGCTTGACAGCCAATTAATATATCCAATATAATTACACAGGTCGTTTCCTTTTCTGCCCCTGATATTTCCAAATGGCTGATTCTTATAACGTCATGTTGAAAATACCTATTCGCTCCTTATTGGTCCACGTCATCGCTGAGCTGGTTGCCAAGCTTTGGTGCCAACACAAATACACCCTAATTTTATTTTATTTTTTGTTTTATTTTTATTTTTATTTTTTTTGTGACTAATTTTTAGTTCCTTCTAAACATGTATACTTTCATCTAAATAGAATATCTGGCTTTTTAAGTAAATCTCAAATTTAAAATCTTTTGTTGTGGGGATTTCTAGAGAGGCAAAGTTAGAGACACGTAGGTTAGGAAAAGGCTTTCGGATAGCACTAATGCACAGTGACGGAGCCTAAAAAAAATTTCAGGGGGGGCACATTATAGTACTGTATACCATACCATATATTTATAATATATTGTACATGTATATAAGTCAATATTTATGAGTATATATATATAGAAAGAGATAATGATATTTTTGGAATGAAATTAATTTATAGATATTAGAATATAAGGATTAAGGAAATAATTTAGGATAAAAAAATATGAAACATATATAGAATTTTACGGAGAATGAGAAAATTCAGGGGGGGCACTTTCCATATTTTCATTAAAAAACATATATATTATTATAAAATATATATAGAATATAAGAGATGGAGAAAATTCAGGGGGGACACGTGCCCCTCCTGGTCCTTAATTGGCTCCGTCCCTGCTAATGCATAAATTGATTACTTGTACAAGTAACATAGGGAATTGTAACCAATATTTATTGAAAAAAGCAACTCAAAAGATATGGGACTAAAACCAGAAGTTACAAAGTGTGTTTGCACCATCACCATTTTCAGTGAAAGATACATATGCCTGCTTAATTTGTTACAAGTGCACATCATCACACATCACATGTGACAGCTCTAGGGGTCAAAGGTAATGAAATCACCATGTTAAACCATGTGAATAATTCCTATTACAGTCTTTAGTGTGTTCAAAAACTATGCACAAATGCTTTTTATTTTTTTTCAAAATCACTAATTACATAAAATTAACATAGTCGGTCTGTACATATTAATGTATGTTTGCTTTTACATTAATGGATTTCATTTTTTAATTTTATTCTTTAGATAAAAGAGAAATGATCCGTATGCAGTCACAAAAATTTGACTTCGACATCAATATTTGGCCACATATATGCTCTAAAAACAAAGATTTGTCCCAAGCCAATTTGAAACGAAGTAATTGGTTACCATTTTAGCTTTCTAGTTATTACTATATTTTCTATTCATCATCAGGATAATATTGAATAGCTAAAATTTGTGCTATGCACATCAATATGATATAATGCAGGCAATGCTATCTGGGGGCATTGAAACTACGAATGTGACACTTACATGGGCACTCTCATTGCTCCTAAACAATCGACATGTTCTCAGATTGGTCCAAGAAGAGCTTGATGTCCATGTTGGAACAGAACGATTAGTGGATGAGACTGATCTGAAAAACTTAATCTACCTTCAAGCTGTCCTAAAAGAAACTCTACGTTTATACCCACCTGGACCACTGGCTATACCACATTTGTCTATGGAAGATTGCGTTGTTGGTGGCTACAACATCCCGAAGAGCACACGCCTATTAGTGAACCTATGGAAGATACATCGTGATCCTCATGTATGGTCCGATCCAAACGAGTTTCGACCTGAGAGATTCTTGACAAGCCACAAGGATGTCGATGTTAAGGGGCAACATTTCGAGTTGATACCATTTGGCAGTGGAAGGAGAATGTGTCCTGGAATTTCTTTGGGGCTCCAAATCTTGCAAATGACACTGGCTAATTTGATTCATGGGTTTGAACTTGGGACTCCTTTGGATGAACCAGTAGATATGACTGAGACCTTTGTGTTAATCAACCATAAAGCCAACCCATTGGAGGTCCTTCTCATAACCCCGCGTTTGCCTACTAACCTATATATATGACAATGGGCTATACAATGTGAGATATTAGGAACTCATGATAAAATGCATATATGTGAACATATTGTATATGTGTTTATGTAGGTTTAGTGCTTGAATATAGACCATGAATCTCTATATTCTTATAGATGCATGTATTAATGGACCTTGTGAACTTGAAATAATTTGCTTTTATTTATTTATTTATTTTTTTTGTTTCTGGTAAGTGAGAAAAAAATTTGTTGGATGGAATTGAATATAGAAACAAATGTTCAAAACAAGCAGATCAAGCAACTTTGATATATTAGGGAACCACATTTGAGGCTAATTACATTTTCGTTTATAATTGGTAATAGTTTTGCTTATGATATTTAAAATTGTTGTCAACTTATGTTTGGAGCACCAAATCAGCACTATGGAATTGGCATTAATGAAAATTTATATACTTCGTTAAAATTTGTGTCTCAAATTCTCTCAGTAATTAGATTTGTTTGTTTTAGGTTCTAAGGAATTTCTTGTTAGGCATGTTTACACCTCTAAGAAATTGGGTTTGAAACTCTATCAATAGAGGTTGAGTTGAATGGAGAAGGTAGGGAAGAAAAAAAGGAATAGAGGAGTGAGTGAGTGAGAAGAGAACAGATTGGGTAATAGTAAAAAGATACAAAATAAATGGGTGGGCATTAACTACACTTGTATATTCTCTTCTTGATTCATTATTAGTGAAATTTCTTCTCTCCATGAACGTAACCTAGAGTAAGGATGAACAATATGTAAAATATTGTGTGTTGATTCCATATTTGTGATGTGTTTGCTTCCGTTGTGCCAAATGAAGGGAATTTAATTCCCAACAAGTTGTATTAGAGCTGAAGGTTGGTCGTTGGGAGATTATCAGAGCCGAAGGTTGGTTGTTGCGAGATTACTAGAGTCGAAGGTTGGTCGTGCGGAATTTGTGAGACTCAATGGTTCATTGCGGAGGTTTTGTGAGAGTTAATGCTCCGTTCAGAGAGTTTGATAGTTGGTTGATAGGATATATATATAAAACACAAAAATAAAAATAAAAAAACTGTAACGACCCGGTCATTTGCCTTCCTTTCCTTTTTCCTGAAATTTTACGAATGAATTTTTTTCGTTTAATTTTCTTTTCTGAGCTCTATTTCGTGTCGCTTAGTGTCATCTTGAGTGCTCATAATTGGTTCCTGAGACTCATTTCCGTGAATTGACAACTTCCTTTAAGGACTGAGTCATTTTCACATTTTTCGTTTTTCGACACTATGCGCTATTTCATCCTTTTCCTTATTCTGTCTTATCTCCGTTTGTCAGTTTTTGGCACAACCTCACTTCTCATGCTCGGAGTTGGTTTTTGACTTCACGTGCCTTCATCTTGAGTGGTTTCCACGAAATACGTATATTTACTTTTGCAAAAAAGTACTCTAGTTGCTCCCGGTGTCCATAGGGGTATGGATGCAAAGTTCTTTGAAATTATTTTCTTTTCTTGGGCTGTTTTTCGTAAATATCTTTTGAAAATATTTTATTTCATGGGTTTTTAAGAAAATATTTTTGGAAGATATTTTCATTCTGGGCCATAAGTGCAGTTTTCACTTTTTGGAGGGGCCATTGTGCAATTAATGAAAGTTATTGCAAAATGTCTTGTTTTGAGCCTGGATCCTCGTACGGGATTTATTTTCATATTTTATCGAGTTATGTACTCTTGGAATATCCTCCTGGTCGATGTTTTCCAGTTTCAGGGTTTTTGGCCTCGGTTTTCACCAAACTTGTTTTGGGCATAACTTTCTGCTCGGGACTCAGTTTTTGACGTCATTTCTTCCGTTGTTCATATTTTATCATTTTGAATCTTTTTTGTTCATAAAGTTTTGCCATTTGAGCACGTTTGCTCAAATTTTACTTTTTCGGACCCGGCGGAGCCCATTCGGGGCACTTTTTGAGATTTCTATAAAAGGGGGATGAGATATTTCATTTTTCATCTTCTCTCCTCTTCATGCACGACCTAGAGCTCCCATGGCAGCCCAAGGGGTGCTGCCATCTTCTCTCTCCTCTTTTGGTTCACTTTTCTTTGATGAAAAGTCTTCGGCCTTAACGTTTGTTGTTCCCCTCGCCGTGCTCTACCTTTCCCCCTAATTAGAATTTAGTTTTGACCATTTCTTGAGTTTGGTTTTGAGGTCAAGTTATGATTTTCATGGGGCTTCTTGCGGATTCTTGTTCACGGTGTTGTCCCCGACAAAACCTCTCGGTATCGTCGAATTCGGAGCACTTTTATTTTGGTGGGCCTTTGGGATTTTCATCTCAAATTGAGGTAGGAGATGTTCAAGGTTTAAATTCTTATTATATAGCATGCTTGTGATGCTTATACTACTTGTTTACATGATTAAATATAAAATCTAGAGATTTTATTATTTATTTTTCTTGTACGAGATCTAATTTTCCCGGTTGCTCATGACTTGGTTTAAACATGTAGCATGATTTTATATTGCCCCTTGATATGCTCATTGTCGTGTATTAAAATTAGAACATTTGAATAAGTATTAAAGATTTTATTTCATATTTATCTTAGGTGAAAGATTAATTCACATGGCCTTAACTAGCTTGAAATTAATATGTGTTAGCATATTATATTAGGCCTTAGCATGCTCTTCAACATAGTTGAATTTGAAAGTAATTGGAGGTGTTTTGAAAATTAGTAATTATTAATTAATTTGATTAATTTATTTGCCCCGAGTGCACTATTCACTCCATTCGAATTCCGACTTGATATTCTTGATCTACATGCCATATAGTTTCACATATATTTGATTTAGAATATTCGGTAAGGTTTTGAAACCTTTCATTTAATTAATTTCCTTGTTTAAGATTTAATCCTCATGATGATATACAACTTGGAATTGAATTGTGGTATGCTAGAAAATTAAGTTTTGGTGTGATTGTTCACATGTATTAAATTGGGATTAATTGCATGAGAATTGCAACCTTTATTTTATATTTAACTTTAGTGAAAGTTTAATTTACATAGGTGTAACTTGCATGAAATAAGCTTGAAATGTGATATTACATTAGTTCTTGGCATGTTCTCTAAGATATGTTAAATTGAGAACATTTGGTTAAGTTTGAAAAATCTAGAGATTTTAATTAAAAGAATGAACTAAAATCTATTTCGTGGTCCCATTAGCTTAATTAAGGTTTTAACTTGATATTTGTATTGGCCATAACTTGTTTACTAGTATATATTAATTTGGGACTATTAGAAGTTGTATTAGAACCTTGGAATTTAAATTAGCATGATTTAATTAAAGTTCTACTTTGTTGTTCTAACAACTTAATTGAGTTTTAGAATGAATATAGGTGATGACCTTGCCATGACCTTTAACATGTATTAAATTGAGGTTAATTGAAATTGAATTGGAAATCTAGAGAATTTAATTGTGTTTATCTATTTAAATTCTATCAATTTGCTCCATGATCTAGTTGTGTTTTAAAAGTGGTTTCTATATTCAAATCATGGACTTAGACTTGTTGTATATTCATTTGGTTATGTTTTGAACATTGGATAACATAGTTGCTATGTTTGTATTCATGAGAATATGTTTTCCTTATTGAATATATTGTTGCCTTGTGTAATGATTTGCACACTTCGTATTTAACATCATTCATGCATAGCGTGTAACGAATCGCACACTGAAGATTCGACATTCATCACATCATATTAGTTGTAGATTTAGAGCATGGATTGTATAGGTTTCCAAATTTGGTTGTACTTGGTAGATAGTTGATTATCTTGCATATTCCTATTGATATATGCGTTATTGCACAACTTATTGATTTTGGAAACTTGGGGATGTCGTTGTTTGACTATAGCGAGGACGTGGTTCTAGTACGGGGGACAGTCCCTCTATATATAGTCTAGTGCGCACATAGGGAGGTTACCCATGGGCTAGTAACCCCAAAGTAACTATGTTGTCGGTATGATCTGGCGTGACGTCTGAGTATCCACTTTGTTAGATTTCACATTTCATTTTCAAGTTGGTAACTAGATGATGTTGTAACTTGTTGTTTCTTATTTGTCGTTCCATTTTAAGTTACAGGATGTTAACTTTGCGAAATTGTGCTTTATGCGTTGTATTGGAAGTTCCAATGTTGGTTAAATTGCATCGATATTGAAAATCGTGTTTTGACGTTCTAATAAAGCTTAGGATTGATCCTATTGATTCTTTTATAACATAGACGTTAGGTGGCATGAACCACTACTGTTATTTTGTGCTTTAGATTCTAAGTTGATGGCTTTGAGAAATTAAACCTTGTTGTATTGTATAACATGCTCTTTTATTGTTGAATTGCATGGATAATGTGAGTCTTGTTAACTTATATTCAAATATGCTTTTGTCATGTTGTATGGATTACTCTAGACCTAGTTCAATTGTATTGAAAATGCAGTTCATGTTAATCTATGCTCAAGCATTCTTCTTGTCGTGTTCTTTGGATTATCCCAACCATGATTCGTTTCATACACGTATGTATATCATGATTCTTGTTGCTTATACTCTAAGGTAGCTTAGGATGCTCCCCGAGTCTCACTTGGACATAGACGTTAGGTGGCATGAGCCCCATTAACATGTTCCACCTTAAGGTGATAAATTTGTAAAATGCTAGGTCGATGCATGCTCATCTCCTACGAGTAGCTTTATGTTACTCACCCCTACGATACTAGGGCATATTTTAGGTACAAAGACTTGGTTCGTGAAGCCTAGCATTCCTTGGATGTCGTGTAGCTTTCAAGTTTCCATTTCATGCAAATGTTAGTATGAAATGTCATTTTGTAGACTTATATGTCAAAATATGTATATTTGATTCCATGTATGTAATGTGTACTTAAGTATACTCCTTTCAATGTAATTGATATGTATGAGACGAGGCCGGAGGCCAATGATATGTATATTGTGTTCTATGTAGTTTTTAACTTCATGAAATATTTGTGAAAATCTTGAAAAATCGCAAGTCATTGCTTCACCATGGTTGCATCGGGTGTGGGAATTCCATTTTCATTCTTTTATAGGTTCTTATTAATCTTGTATAAAGTGTGGCCAAGAGCCAAACGGTCATTTGATCCCGTTTTGTATTTTTGGATTCCGAGTTTTCATTCCAAGTTCCATTTTTGCCTTTTTGCCCATTGGGGGGTCGGGTTTTGTATCGGTGGTATTTTTAAGTCATGGA